TTTTCCTCTTACTTATAGCCCCCCATCTGTGGCCTGCACAAGATGATCAAAGACCTCCAGAGCCCAAATCTGGGACTGTTAAGTACCTAGTTGACACCTCATCGTCCCTGGTAAGTTGGTTCTAGCTCACCTCCAAACACCAACTGTTAACCCCCCCCCAAAGAACTAGACACACACACACACACACACACACACACACACACACACACACAAATATTCTAATGTTGAATCACACAAACAGAAAGAAACACAATTTTGCAGAGACAAGGCAAACACACACTTACCATCTGGTACACACACTTGAACGAATGATCCCAGAGGATGGAATAGAAAAATGAATACATGCAAAACGGAGCAAAACAGATTATTTCCTCTGCAACAGTATTTGAAATGACCAGAAACAAGATGACAAATGTCTCACCCTCCGCATGAATGGAGGCACACTGTGATATCACAGCCCAAAACATGCTGTTATTTAATATGGAAATGTTATACTTGTTGTAAGCTTGTTTCCTGTGCTTCTGTAAGACCCACTCTACTGTCCCTGCCTCCTGTCAAGAAGAAACCATTGAGAAATTTGCATGTAAATTGGTTGACATTTGTACTTAAAATCATTATAAAGGAAACCGTCTCTGTGGGATAATATTGAAATCAAATGTTTTATGGACACTTAACTCCTCTAGAGCCTCGGGCTACCGTAGCTATAACCTTGGCCTGTTCAATTTTGAATGTGACTAGTGCTGGCCAAAGCACTAGTCATATATAGCATCTGTAGGCAGCAGAACAATAAAATGCATGAATAAGATATGAGATCAACATAGAGATGAAACACATGTTTGCTTCCCCGCTGCATTGCCCACTTCACACTATGCCGAGGAAACACAAAGATATATAGGTAGAGATACACCCTAAATATGACCTTTATAAAAGCAATTATTTTTAATGTTTTATGATCTTCAACTTCTAAATTTAAGATGTGGTTAAGCTCATACTGTGCAGTAGCCCACAGAGAGGACACGACGGTCAGGTCAATGGTTCAGGATCGTCCTATGCAATATTTTGTTCCAATGAGGACGGTCCATAAAATGTTCTGCAGTGTGCAGAAATTGTAAAAAGTGGGAATAGCTATGTGCCTCTATCCATGCATGCATTCATGGATGGATGCATACATACCTACGTGCACAAAGCAAATTAAAATATGTTTGGTTGAGTGGTTAGAACAGCGAGCTGCAGACATACAGGCATGCATGTGGAAAAGACAAGACTCTCTTCACCACATGCCAGGCCACTCCACTCGAGCTGATTGATTTCCCATAATTTCTGTGGCCCTGATAACTGCACGTCTGCAGGGCTGCAATCGTTCCAATATTTCAGCACCATATACCCACACAGCCACGCTCTGTTCAAAGCGTTGTTGCCAATGCGTAGGTATGTGAATGTAACTACGTACTGTATGTGCACTTGGGAAAGATGTGTGTATCTGTGTGGAACAGCACCAGTTGTGATGACTGACACATGGTAGTGATATGCCAATCATGTATGTATAAGTAGAGAGCAAGACTACTCCAACAATCCTCCGAATGAACAAATAAGCGGATATAGTGGCCAGGAAAAGGCCCACAGCCAAATCAGTACTCAGGAAAAAATCTACCTGCCAGATGGTGCAGAATGTTACATGTAACACCTACTCGTCTAACTCGACACAAGCAGCGATTAGTCGAAATACACATTAACAAATTAGTTTTCTCCTCTAAAAACACTCTAAACGATTTCTAAACGTTCAGTGTAGCCATTGTAAGTCGTCTTTTATAGCGAATTGCACTCGGACGGAGAAACTGCCGTTTAAGGTGGTAGTGATTTTTTTTTTAAAGCCGGATCTAATCATACGTTGGTTGGTATTGAGTCTGGTGCCGACAGAAAGATAGGCGTCTTATCTTGCACTACGAGCAATTTCCTTCTATGTTGAAATAACAGCAGTAACTGAGCTCGAGCTGTGACCCATGACTAGTCACCTTTCCCAACTGTATCCTCGCCAAAGCCATTACACTTTTCCTGTGCGTACAATTATTTTAGGATGGTGCGGAAATTTCAAACAGCTTCAGGATTTAAATGTTTTTTTTAAATGTGAAAAAGTGTAAATCTTATCTCTAACACAACACTGTATAAATGTTTAAGTCTTGTGATATATGAAATGTTTTATGCTATTTTTATCGAAAATGGTCTCAATCAATCAGAGTTATGTACCTGCTTCAATATGTCAAGTATGTAAAGTTTTATATCTCAAGTTTGTATTTACTCTTGAGCTTCTGGGAGCATACACACTGGTTTTGCGTGTATTTGCATGTGTAGTAATTAGAGAGAGAGGCAAGCAAAGTGAAGTGGTGCCAGTTTTTCTTTTCCCTCTCCGACTGCTGGCCTTACATTAGCATAGATCATGCGGTAATCCATAATACATGGCTCGTTAACAAGGTTGGTATTTTTGATCCATAATCAAGGAGTATATTTTCAAAGAGTTTCCAGAGTTAAACATATAATTACTGCAGGCTTCTCCTTCCCCCTCTGCCACACCCAGGCCACGCGATTGTACAGTATGACAGCTATTGATTTACCCTGCCATTTGACCATTGATTGGGGTGGACGCCATTATGTCAGTGAGATTATAGCCCTCCAAAGCACAGTGATTCTGAAAGGGGAAAACCAGAGGCCGAGAACCGACTCAAGATTAGCTGAGTTGAGTGCTCACTGCGTCGCTTACAACAGCAGCTGTGTTTCTGCTAATCACAGCACAGCACAGCACGGCACGGCACGGCACCGCACGCTGTAGCGTGGCACAATCGTGCCCAGAGTAGAGCCTAGCACAGCAAAGACAGAGCACTTTCATTTCTCTCACTTACGTATGTGCCAAAGGGAGCTATAGAAACACACACAGGGAGGGAAAGATCACATCGACTATTCCAGACACGCAGTTTTTTTTCATTAGCGCGGCTCATTGCGGCCCAATATTTTCTATGACAGCCGTTGCCTCCCATATTGTCTCTGGTTAAACTGACCACAATTAACCACATGCAGTGGGATGAGGGGGAGGGGTTTTCGGAGTCGCGGGATGATTGGGAAGGGGGTTTTGGAGTGAGCAGGGTGAGTAGGCGTTCACTGCCTCTGCCCGCTCGTCGGCTTTCAGGCCGGCCATCATGTATTTATAGCAATATTGAATTTAATTGCGTTTCTAGCAGGGGGCCTGAATTTTAAGAGACCCATAAATGGAAGAACATCAAACACTGTGCCATGAACATATAAAGTGCACCCTTGTGACAAGCAACTCTTTAATCTGTGAAATGTAAAAATCTAAAGCTGAACACAACCCTGCTGTATCCTGGATGCCAATGAGAATTTTATTTTGCGCCTTGCACACTTTTTACAGTGCACGAGTTAACAGACAACCCCCTGGGTGGCAAATTAGTCTTAAAGTGCCTTTTCTTTGATGATATGAGAAGTGACTCTGGATAAATGCTCTGAAAGCAGTGTCTTAGCCTGAGAATTACATTTGTAACACAGGGGGAGCCGACGGGTGGCCTGCCCTCTGTCGGGTCACTTTTTCAAATTCAAACCCACGGTCTGTTTATTGGGTAGTAAAAAGAAGGATTCATTTGCATTTAGTTCAGCATCCCCGTGATATTGAGCAGCAATCTCTGTAGCGTCCGGAGCTTAATAACCCAGAAGGAAAACTGGCATATTAAAAAGTGCTTTCTTTCTTCGGGGGACACTGAAGTCGAGCCCTTTGGCAACAGCTTGTTTCCTCCAACTAAATTCCCGTCGCTCACAGCTCTGGCCAACATATCAAACACAGAGCTATCAGACGTTCCACTTAATCAAAATCCTAATGACCATCATTGATATCAAGGCTTTAAAAGGCAAGACTTGCATCTCTTTGAGTTTACGCAGTCAGCATGTGTGCCTGTGTGTGTGAGTGTGTGTTAAGGACTATCAGAGCCTGTTAATGCGCCGCAGGGAAAAAGCACGGGGGTCACCGCTTATTTAAAGCAGGCCTGACTCTGGCATTTTCTTGCCTTCACGTCCTGAGAATGAATTTCTACGTACAAAAAGAGGTGCAGCAGATAACGATGCATGGAGCGAGCATGAAAAAAGGAGCTGGGTGGCCACAATCAACCGCCCGTCCGATAACCAAAAAGGTCACATGGTTAATCCCAGCAACGAGTCGTGTGCAGCTTGGATTAAAATGATTAGAAATGGATCAATCGCATTTGGCAGACATTGGGCAATGCATAAAATGGAGCTAAACAATTTGTGCTAGAAATAAGGATTCAAAACAGTTATTCAATTTTTTGAATAACTGTCTTACCCATCCCTCAGGGAATCAAGCTGGATTTATAACAAAAAAACGTTTAACAATATAAATATATAGGAGAAAGGGGAGGAGCGACTTTTTTATGGGTGACTCCGAGTCCCCGCTCCGCTGGGGATGGTGTGATCCGGTGTGTGTGTGTGTGTGTGTGTGTGTGTGTGTGTGTGTGTGTGCGTGGATGAAAGGGGGGGGGGGGGGGTGGAGGCACGTGCTGACTCCTCAGAAATAAACAGCTGCTTTAAATAAAAACGCACAAGAGTGAACGGCAGCGGGCTCCCCGGACTACGACGGAAGATGACGATAATGACATAATGTGCCTCCGTGGGCACGTCAAACTACGTGGATTGGTCGGAAGAGAGAGTCCCAAACAGGACCGTCACAAAGTGGCAGCATTAATGACACATGTTTCCTTTAAGACCTACAGGACGAGGAACTACCCCGAATGGGTTTATTTCTTAGAAACTCGCATTTTAGACTTTATTCATCCACGCTGTCTCGCCTCAAAGCCGCACGAGACAAGTCGCCGGACGCTCAACACATTGTGGGAGAGAGAGATTTTCCTCCCCATAGCCTGCTGTTTCCGCAACAACAACCCCCCGACACCCCTACAAAAAGCTGCTGTTAAACTCCGCTTGCTCACCTCCAGTGGACGCGCAGTCTCTGTCCAGGGTGCTGAAATGCTGCTCAGTCTCTGTCCAGGGTGCTGATTTCCATCACCGGCTCCGGGGAGGATTTGTAAATCCGCTGCGAAGAGGCGTCGAACATTCCGGTCCAAAAAAAAAAAAACTGCTGCTGCTTCCGCGGTTAAGTTACATTAAAGAAGAAGAAGAGAAAAAGATCCCATTGCGAGCCGCGCGTCCCACACAACGCAGAGCGAACGTGGCTCACAATGAGGAATTCAAATGTTTACGGGGGGGTGTTAAAAAGACGCCGCTTCCTTGATCCGAGCCGGGTAGTTCTATTCCGATAGTTTCCTGGAAGTAGCCCCCTCGCTTGTCTCTCTCTCTCGCTCTATCTTTCTCACTCTCTCTATATGTCTGTCTCTATGTCTATTCATGTCTCTCTCTCGCTTTCCTCGGATCTATCAATCACTATTCAATTCGGAAATACGCGGCGGGGACGGGAGAGAAGAGGAATACCTCCCCCCCCCCCCCCCTGTATTCTGTAAGCCCTCGACCAGACATGAGCAAATGACTGCAAATAGCTAAACAGAAATCATTTGGGAGTTAGTTATACTGGCAAACACAATTAATTACATTCCACTGTGCCAAAAAAACTGCAAGCTGCATTTATTCTGTAAAATGAATATTCCCCCTATCACACACACACACACACACACACACACACACACACACACACACACACACACACACACACACACACACACACACACACACACACACACATACACTTGCCGAAGTGAATTTAATTTATGGTCAATTTTGTGGAAGGGGCAGTCATCTGTTCTGGGAACCTCCTGGTCGTCACTTTGTCTTTTGTTTTTAACAGAGATACAGCTTTCTACATAATGTTCAGTGGTAGATTATCGTCTACAATAGGGCTTATTAGCAAAAGAAAAGCAACTATGTCATATTGAATCTAGAAATGTGTCACTGACAGTTAGTCCAGACAGCAATATTAGAGGATTAAGTGATGTCATACTTCAAGTTGCCGTAGTAAGGTTGGGCCACTATGAACTCATAGCATAAGACACTAAGAGTATTACGTTTAGTACATGATACCATAAGATATTCAAAGAAAGTATCATGGGAACATTATTCCATAATATTTATGCACATTATTTAAGTGGCTGGACTATAGCAGAATTCCAGAAATAGGAAATGCAAGTGGAAGCGTGATAGAGTGTCTGCAACCACTGGGCCCGGTTTTTCAAAAGGTTTAATCCGGATAAAATTGATCCGGATTCAGTAATCCTTTTTTTTTGCGATCCGTGATCACGTAATCCAGTTTACTTTTGAGCCAGTTTTTCAAAGCAACATCGGATTGGATCAATCTGATCCGGATAAGAACTGTTCAGGATCACCAAATCTGGATAACCAGTGCTCAAACAAGATAGGAAATCACAATGTAGAACTATAGATATGTAAAGAGCAACAATTAGAATAGCCAGTGTGGGGTCAATATAAGTTTATTTTTATTTGAAATGAAAACACACACATTTAAAAAAAACTAAAAACAAGAAAAACCCCACTCCATCCTCTTCCAGCAGTCCGCTCATCTGAGACCTACAACACACACACTGTACATTGAGGATATTTATAACAAGTTTCAAATATAGATGTATTGAATTAAAAAAAAGACTTAATGTCAAATACTCCACAATAATTTCAGACTTCATCATCTGATGTGGAGAGACCAGCTTGTCTGAGCGTAGCCTTTAGGAGGCAGATCTCAAGTCTGGCCTTGGTTTGCTGCAGTTTGGTCAGAGTCAGTTGTTCCTCTGCCAGAACGAGCAAACAGGACGTGCAACAAGGGACGTAATAGTTGACACTATTTCTGATTTGGATTTGTTTTGGATTTCAAAAATCAGTGATTGCCATTCTTTGCATTTTTTGGGTTATTCTGTAATCATTGCATGCATGACTAATAAATATTCTAAAAACAAAAATATTTTCGATTGTGATGAATATATATATATATCAATTAGTGACCGAATAAAATGTATTGTTTTTGGTCAATTTTGACGGCTGTTTGGGGGATTATTTTATCAAACTATTTCTACTTTGCTGTAGGCCTTTATTGAATACGTTAAAGCCTACCTAATCACTGTAGCCTGACGGATGAACAAATAAAATTAAAACCTTATGAATAAATAGGATATTTTGTAAGATACTGCATCATCCAAATATAGTATTATTTGATGCATTTTTAAAGTTTTCATTACATTTTGGGCATGAAATCCACGCTGAATCCACCCTTCTGATGGGATCAGTTTAATCCAGATTTTTTGGATCGAAGTGATCCAAATCCTACAAAAAAGTTCTGAAAAACCCAAACTAAAGGTTTCATCCGGATCAAAACCAAGATTGGATTACGTGATCTAATTCCGATTATGTAATCCGTTTTTTCTTTTGAAAAATCCATTTTCAAGATTTGATCCAATCCGTTATCCAAAATCCTAGTGGATTACTTTTGAAAAACCGGGCCCTGGGGATCATGCAGGTCCATAATTTCAGTCTGGACCAAAGTGGTGGGCAGACAGTACGACCAGCTTTCCCTTCATAGAGCCTGGCCCTCTAAGGCATACAAATATGCATGATTAAGGACACCCCACTGTAGAATAAGTGAAATATATTATCTATATTACATTCTAACATAAAACATTAAAATCCCTCGACTTAAGATGAGGACATGAGTTCATGGTTGAGTGCAAGGACGCATTATAAGTGGCTATCTTATAGCAATATTATAGGTATTAAGGAAAGGGCCAATTGATATGGACATGGTACGTATTAGAGCCTGATGCAATAGAAGGAGAAAAATCCCACTCAAGCACACTGCAACGTCACGGATGAAGTGCCACATGTAGTCCATGGGCTAACTATATCTCCGTAGGCTTATAATAAGTATATTTTCGCACCAGGGATTTGGTAGCACCCTTCCCCAGCAGAGGAGTCTACTCTGTCTCATTAGCTTTCAAAACCACATCTTTAAAGAGTGACTGCGCACAGCTACTTCAAATTATAAAAGCACAGAAAGACCCTTCTGCACTTGCTCGTCAGTTCAAAGTAATTCAGCACCCACATATACCGGTATCCCATTAAATGCAATTTTATATGATTAGAATTTTCATAAGCCAATCAGAGGCGATTAGACTCGGAGACAGAGGGAGATGTGAGGTGACTGTCGGAGTGTGCTTTGATGGGGGGAGATCAGAAGGTTAGTCCGAGTCAAAGTGAATGTAGGATGAGAGGTGTTGAATATTGAGGACCCCCCTCCCCTCTCCTCCTCCTCCTCCTCCTTCTCCGTTAGATCTCCAGCTGCAGCTTCAACGTTATGTAATGAGTTTTATTATCTCATTTTGAGGCGTGTGTGATAAAAGATTGTCCTTGAGCAACCAAGGAGGGAAGTTGGCTACATGATTCATGCTTTCATCCTCCAGGGGTGCGGCACTGCGTTCCACTGTGTGCCTCAAGCCGTTTTTAAAGGAGAACTGTAAGTTCACCTGTTCTAAAGAAATACAAGGCAACGCGTCACCTCTATAAATGGGCTCTCCTCCTTCCGTGGGACTAATCAATTCTTCACTTACAGCCTACCAAATACCCCCTTGGTGCCCCTCTGCGTCCATTACCTGAGCACCGAGGTGAAACATGCTAAGTTGAGATGGCTGGACCCAGGAGACCGTTAATCATTCAACAATGTAATTTAAAAAACTATCCCCCACGTTTTTGTCTAATCCTCACTAGGTAACATTTTTACATAAAGTCCATTTTTTATAAATTATGAACTTAAGTTCTGGACCTATTTTGCACATCGCCCTCTCAAAGTTCCAGAGAGAACCACTCAAAATGTTACAAAAGGTGTATGTTATTATCTGAGCATTCAATAACATACAACAACAACAACAACACCATATTCTGTGCTAACCAATCTACTGCGTCTTATATGTGAACTTATATGGGAGCTTATCTCTGGGTTCCTCATTAGTCTCAATTAGTCAGCATGGCCTGACACAGAGTTATTATGGCCATTTACAGTACATGAAAATGGATTCATCTCTTCATTATTAAACCCTATCTGAAATTACTCTACACAAAATATCCAAGTAGTAAAGAAAGCAAGCGTGAGATTAGCTACAGATTGTGTAACACTGCATCAGATTCGCAATCACTGCAGCACGATGAAGCTCACGGTGAAACAAAGTTAAAGTAAAATGTATGATTTATTCATAAGGGTGGAAAAGGAAAGGAAAAGGACAAAGCTGTTGGTAATTTTCCCACTCTTCTGATGTGTGTTGCGCAGTGATGAACTGCGACACTGACTATCAAAAAAATGCAGTTGAGTAAAAAGCACAATACTTTTACCAAATTGAAACTCTTGACTGAAGGAAACGTGCTTCATCATTGTACTGAAGCACATAAATGGCCAATTAGACTTTGTTTTACAATGTGTGTCTTTCCACCAAAACAACTAAGAAGCTTTGTAGACAGAAACTAGTCACATTCCGATGTTTTTAGGGAAATTAGCTTGTAAAATATTTTTAATATATATAGTCAAAGAAGGATTGCTATGTTAGATTAAATAAAAATACTAAAGTGTTTGAGTTTGCCGTGAAGGATTTCCATGGTCCCACTTAGTTGAATCTTCTTTGAAAACAACAGCAAACAAAGTCTTTGTCTCAATGTCATGTCTCATATTACTGGTTTAGTTTATTTTGATGTGTGCTCAAAGTCCAGTTTAAGACATTAAGTAATTAGAAAAGTATTATGAAATCATGAGCCGCAGAAGGAACAAGCGGATATAGAATTCATATTTAATTAATATTCAGTGTAATTTCAATAATTCAAACCCAAGTCATTTATAGCTCTTTGTTTAGAAGGCGGTTTGCTCCACAAGTCAATTTTGTTTTTTTAACCACAAATCCCGATTAGAAGACAAAAAAAGGAGCCCAGTGATGCAGAACCACATTTTAAAAAATCTATTGTTTTCAGTTATCCATTCATGTTGCCGCTGTATTGGTCCTTCGATAATTTTAACTAGCACACAATATTATTTAACATTTACTGAATCAAACAGTAATTGAGGTGTTGGTCTGAAAGATGTGCTTCATTGGCAGCAAATGTCTATTTTTGATTGAACCAGAGTTCAGTCAAACATTTACACTGTTCACAAAACTTTTCCTTCTTCTTAAAATGCCACATTGTTGTGACTCTGGCTGCACTTAATTTTATCTGTCACAGGAATTGTCATTAATCTAGAAAGAG